TGACAGGAATTATTTGTACATTTATACATTAGATCTTCTGAATCAGCCAATTCACTTTACGCCGTCCCATAGGGCTTTAAGCATAAAATTTCATTATCTAACTCAAAAAAATCTAGAAAATAATAAGGTTAATGCCAGCATTTTTTAACGTATTTTTAATTACTTTTTTGAGGAATTAAGGTTATTTTTGAATATTGTGACAAAGTATAGTACTTCTTCTTGAAGGTGTTATGTTGTATTACCAGATTCGTTTAATTCTAAGCAGCAGTGAGTAAATTGCATTGAGGATGACTCTTTTAAGAATATTGGAATTCCAGTTGGTTAATTTAAGTGTTGTAAAGTCGAATTCTCTTCGTTGTAACATAGACTTTCAAAAAATTGTAATCTATAATATGCAAATCAAGGTAGTCAATATCATGTTGCACGGTATTTGTAGTATTAAGTCTTAGGCATGAAGGTAGATATTGGCATTTTTAATCTTGTTGAAAGTTGTTGAAGGCTATTACATCATCAATACAATCGAAAGATGTGTTGGTAAAATTTATGATCTTCCTTATTGAGTGAATGTATAAAAGTCAATTCTTTTGTAAAAAGGAATAATTCACAGACAGAAGTTGAAAAATTACCACTCCATAGGAATTCCCTGTATTTGTTTAAAGATGTTGTTGTTGAATTGAATAAAATTATTGCAAAGTACGCATGAAAGAAAAAGTTGCCATTTTTAAGTATTTATTATTGTAGAAATTTGGGGAAATAATTCAAGAAGAGCAAGTAAACTTTTATAAATTTCTTCAAGTGGCAAAGTAGTATACAGATTTTCAAAGTCGTAGCATTGGATATGTTCTATTTTAAATGTATTTAAGGTTATTAGAACATGTTCGTTACTTGAAATCATTCAGTTGCAATGTAGATCTTTAAAATCATAATTATTAATGAGGTCACTTATTAGACGTAGTTTTTGTGCAAAGAGATAATCTATTTCCTTAAGATAACTTTTGGTACTATTGGCAATGAACCTAACTTTGACCGGAGTCTTATGAAATTTTGGTAGTGCATATAGATTTGCAAATCTCTTATTATATTTCCGAGGAAGGATTTTAAGTTTTTTACGAAGTGCATTAAATTTATTAAGAAGAATCTTGGTGCTGGTAGTAATCTTTTGATAGGTGCAAGCGTTATTCAATTCTTTATTCAGAAGGTCGAAATAAAACTTTTTTCAAATAACACTAAAATTGTTGCTAGCTTTGTCAATCTTTGTGATGATAAAGTTATATATATATATATATGCAGTAATGCATATATATAAATCCTGCAACTAAAGCGCAGAACGGGTTTAAAAATAATTTTATTCTGATTTTTTAATTCGAATTTTTAGGCTATTTATATATTCGTTATATATATATATATTGGGCGTGTTTGTATAATGTTATGTCTTCAAACATCATTTAGTATTATTTATTTATTATTTCCCCGACACAAATAGGTAAATAAATAATCTTGCATTTTATGCAGAGCGCACATTTACCGCTTTGCCTCAGGTGAAAAAATATGTAGGCACGGCTTTGTTTCAGCATATAGTATAATTGACCTAATATCATAAGCATCATTATGAATAGCTGTTTATTGCTTGATTTTAATTATTTCTATGTATAAAAAACTTATTCAGTTTAAAAAACACATTTCGCATGAGTCCTTTTCTTTCAACAAGAAAACATTTTGTAAATTAATACGTATGTTAAATTTGAAATTTTATCTACAGATTTATATAAAAATATGAACCGGATGAATCAAAGTATAATAAAATATTACTATTTATTTCTGCTGAAAATACGATGCTGGTACATGTTGAATTTTAAATAGTTTTCATTTCGTAACTTTCAACTACTAATCAAATTCACTATCCTTTTCTCCCATGATTTCTCACAGTAATGAATTGTCTACAGCGTTCATTATTTTAATTACCTGCTTCTGTGGGAACTCAATATAAATTGTCAATTTTTATCCTTTTGAAGACGTCTCAAAGTTTCATAAATTAATGGTAGAAAAATATTACTTTGACAACAAAAAATAATCAAATTGCACAAATTTTGTTATTAATTTCTGTAACTTATTCACATATCATATTGTTTAAAAAACAATGATAACTAACAAGAGAATTATTAAATCCAAAATCCACAAGAAAATTTCTAAATCAGAAATCTTCCATCCATAGTTTAACAATTAGAAATTGTCTTTAATGTGCTAAATCCTAACATGTCATATAAAAAAGCATCTAAAATTAAATCTTCAGTTTTTAAAATTCAGAAAAGTAATTAATAGCAGTATTGATATGGTTTTTTCTTATGAACTGATCTGTAAAATCTTCAGCAACATGTTTTGAATATATTTTTTGATAAATCTTTCAAATTTCATTTATACGCACAAAAATTAGAACCCATATTTATCATATATAGCTAATAAAAGGGGCCTTAATATACACTGTTTCCAGGAATTTCAAATTTAGAATACCCAACTGATAACATAAATTGTGCTTAATTCCTTTCCGCAAGCAGCCAAGCATGATTTTTCAAATGTGTCACGTGGATACAAGGTAGTTTCCACGTGAAAATTTAAAAAGTCTCGAGAAGGCATTTCTGGCTTTTACAAATGTTCTGGTGTGTATCGCCATAATCCAAGTTAAAAAGGGACAACTTCCTGATGAGCCTTTTTAAATAGACTATTAATCATCAAACATATGAACTCAGACCTTTCTTAACATGTATTTAATAAGCCTTTCAGTTTTAGCATACAGATACATTTCCTTTCCACTCTTTTCTTACTATAGTCCCTATAATGACTCATCCTTTCAGTAATTTTGATGAAAATTATGAACGAAGCAAAAGATCTTTTGTTTTTGTTTATTCCCATTGAAACAGCCAGATAAAGTAAAGGAATTCTGAACAGCTTAAGATACCAGGCTTCTTAAGTTGAAACTCTGTGATAATATGATGATTGAATGATGTTGATAATAATAATAATAATAATAACAATTAAAAAAAGACTTTTTGAGGTTTTCCATTTTGTTCCATACCACATACGAAAAGAAGTGAAATAGAATCAAAAAAGAAGAAAGGAGAGAAAAGCCTTGTAACTTTTTCATGATTAAAAAAAAAACTGCGAAGTACATTTGAACATCTTAAGAAATGTAACATAATATTGCGCATATGAAAGAAATACTGTTTGAAATGTCATAATAAACTTCCCATACTGGAAAAACTTTACATACATTCAAAGGTTGTTGAAAGTTGTTATAGATAATTTCTTTAGTAGAATACTGACTGTCAGTAGCCAAGTCGTTAAGACCATTTAGAACTGATTATTCAACTGAGGTACGAGTTCTGCTGAATAGGCTGGTTGCATGAGCATTTTCATGGATTTCTCTATGTGTAACATGGATACGAGACAGATTCATTAGAATGTCCTCTAGAACGGCATCCCTCCCTTTAAACTGATAGTTGTCGCACGCTTTCCCAAAATCAAACAAACTAAATATCCAGTAAAATAATTGGCTGAGACCTTTTCACAAGAACCGCTTGCATTACCTCCAAAATTATTTTCTTGTATTTCAGTTTTAAAAATGCAATCTTTTGCACCACAAACCGCATCAAAATCAATATTTTGTGCACTGATAATACTCACTGGAAAAGAATGTCAAAAATTCTCATCCAGCTTTAAGATACATTTGACGTATTATAAATTTCACTAATTTTTCACTTTTTTGGCATTCATAATTCAACTCCATTCTTACTATCAAACATAGACATAATTTGTGTTAAGATAATTAAGTAGCAAGTTCATCTCCCACCATCTGGCAATACTCCGTATCTTGAATTTTTGGAGGTAGAATCTTAAAGTAGTAGGACTATAATAACTGTTAAACGTACATCTATTTCATGCATTAAACTGCATTTTGCTGGTTGTATTACTTTTTTTTTAAATTTTTAATCATTAAATTTTTTTTTATCTGTAAGCTTTTCTTTGGGGTGCTAGATGGTAATCTGTAGTTTCGAGATTGGAAAGCATGTATTTTAATTATACTTTTAGCTGTTATACAGTACCGTTTAACTGAGTCCTCAATGATCGAGGAAAATCGCAAATTGCGAATTTCTGGGCGTTTACTGTTCAACGGGATGGATGCACAGGATTTTAGTGATTTTTCCAAAACGATTAGGAGAGTATTTCCCTTAAAACGTTCTCCATTAAAGCATCTGTTCTCTGGCAGGTACTTCTGACATATTTTGCATTAATTACATCAGTCTACAAACTAACTTATATAATTGCACAAAATGTAGAAATTTAAATTGTCAGATACCTATAGATATGACTTACTCTTAGCTACTGCTAAAACAGTGTACTTTATAAACTAATTATGAGGAAACAGGTGAATGCTTCTTGTCCAATGGGATAGACTTCGTCATGGAGGACTTTGCAAGGGTTGACTCGTGCCTGTTATACGCAAGATAAATTAGATAATTTACGAAACTCTTATTCATCCATGTCTTTCTGGCACCAGCAACCATATTCAGAACGAATTGTCAGTGTTTTCCGACGTCATTCAATAGACCATTCACGGACTCAAAGCAAAATATTAATATAAAGAACTATAAACATCTGATAAATAAGTAAAGATTAATAGAATTTACATTTTCACTGAATTTATATCAATGTTGTTTTTAATATGTTATTTGAAAAGCATTCGTTTTAAATTTAACTTAATTATTTTTTAAAAAAATGTTCTTTATAACATATTTAAAGCTTAAATGTGAAAACTCAATTGTGTGTACTCTAATGTAGTGAGATTTTTAAGTACAGAAGCCTCATAACGAGCCAAATATGGCAACCCCAGGGAAAAAACAAAATAACTCTTCATCACTCATAAAATGACAGTGACTGAATTTGAGATGAACATACGATAAAAAGAGAAATAACGATAGCAAAAAGGAACTCTGCCGCCGGCCAGGCAAGTCTTCTTTTGCATTCCTCTTCTTCTGAGGTCTATAGGGTCATAAGGATCTTGTTTGCCTATAAAGAGGAGAGAGAGAAGAACTTTCACTATTACAAAAGATCTGCTCTAACCAGTAACATCTAAAACCTCTGCTTCGCAAAACGTTTCATTATGGTAAGTTTGGTTTATTAGCTTTCGTTCACATGGAATTGAACACAAATCTAGGTTGCATTTTATCTTGATTCATTTATTATAAATAAATTTAATCTTAAAGCTGCACTATTATTTTCATTCCATGTTACATAGTGAAATTAACATGAAATTTATTAAAACCTCCACAGTATATATTTATTGCTTAGGAGTGTAAGAAAGTACTGAAATATGATTACCAATCATTTATTGCATTACTTAAGGAAAAGTATTGATGCTATGTAAATGTGTTTGTGGAGGGGGAAAATCTTTATAAAACAAGCTTCTTAAAATCTAAATTTTGTGCTAAGATATTTTCAGTCAGATATATTGCAGTTTATAAGTTGTCAGATGTTCTGATCTATAACATAATGAATCGAAAGAAAGCTCTTATTTCTAAATTATGTCCGTTAGAACTAGGACGTTAAAATATTAAAATATTCGTTATTAAGCTTTTATAATAAACGCTTACAATCTGTTGAGCAGTAAGACTGCTGGATATTGGTAATTCGACTCGGATTCAAATGTCGGTGAACGGGCTGTCTGCAGGGAGGATTTCGTGATTTTCTTCATTTGTAACGCGAAATCGAGCCAATTTCCTCTAAAATGTCTTCCGTTAGGCAGCTAACCTTCGTGTGCTTTTCCATAATCGAAATAATCCTAATCCTCTTATAATATACGATGGCTATTCAAAATTTCCTCACTATTCCCTTGTTTATATTATAATTTTTTTACTAATTTTGTTTTTCAAAATTTTTACTCACCAATTAAATTTATTTGGTTTTGCGGTTAATTAATTTGTTTCCCTTTCAGCAGTTTGAAGTTTCATGATCTAAAGAAATAAATTCCCAAATATGTTACTTTTAAAATGTTAATTAATTAATCGTCTTAGTCCAAAAATAAAGAGTCTATAGGGTTACCTCTGGTTTGAGTTTAAATGTTTGTTTGTTATAAGAATTATAAAAGCGAGCAACAGTAATAATTTAAAATACGAACTACTTATAAGGATATCTGAAATAGAAAGAGTTACATAGCTTTTGAGAAAACGGAGCTATATGTGCATATTTTTCCGAACAGTAACTGTACATTATCATCGTCATATCGAGTGATGTGAGTTGTATGTTTACACATTTATGTAAGTATTGAATTGCAAATTCCTATGCTGGCGTTCAGAGTGATTATATGCAAATGCTTCTAAAATGAGAGATTTAAAAGTAAGTGCTTGACTTTGTAAGTGTTGTATAAAGCTTGAATAATTTATTGGCTTATGTTTGATAATCTCTCAACAAATTTTAAAGAACAGTCATTATGGAACTATTCTCTCAATAAACGTAAGATATTTTAGCGCATTACCGGTAATCGAATAACTTTGATGATCACAGCAGTCTTTGATCATGTCGTTTATCATAATCTTTGAATTTAATTCATTTATGCCGAACTAATCTTAGTATATGATTATAATGTGTAATGGGAGACTGAACCAGTTTGCTTTAAAAAGTCTTCTACGAAGGCAACTATCCTTTTGCGCAGTAGCACTCATGAGCTTTGTCATATTCAAATAACTTAGCCTAACTTAATATTCGGATTCTAATTCATGCTGTTCTCACACTGTACAGGCTTTCTTACTATTATCATTCTTATGTCCTGCATTAAAAACTCTTATTTTATTTTAGAAATTGAAGAATACTCGTATCATGAATAACGGCGATGCCGTGATAATGAAAATACACGAGCAAACGCTCTGTCTTTAGATTATTAGAATTCTAATGTCTAGTGTATTTTAAACTGTAGTGTACTTAATGAAAAGTACACTACAGTTAACAGTAGTGTAGTGTACTTAGTAAACAGTGAAAACACATATCTATAATACAAATCCAATGTTCATAGCGATGGCTTCAATCAAATAATGGTCATTTTTTGAAAATGAAAGATGAAGTATCAAAATGCAAAACTCAATGAAGCTAGTGAAGTACACAAAACTGCACACATGATTATTCAGATACATTTAAAATATTCTGCCGATGAAGATCCATTTTATGGTAGAGATCAAAGCACACTATTTAATAAAATCTTTGATTTAGTAGGAAGATTTTAATCTGAATCTTATATTTTATTTGTTGAAGCACGTGAGAGGCCAAATAGCTTTAGCTTAGGAACAGCAATAGTTTGTCTCGGCCTCGGATGACGAAACTGTTGGGTGTATTTCCCAAATGTAGCGGAAGTAGGAGCCCTTTTTTCTTATTTCCACGAAAGCGCCTTACGTCTTAAGCAAATAGCCTTTGCACGCTTTATCATATTAATTAATCTATTAATTTCTTCTTGTATACAACTGACTCAATACTTCAATTGTTTCAATTATGACGTTATTTGACTTTGCTTGAGTCTGCTATAGATTAAATTACTGTAATGTCAGAATAATTAATTTCCTAGACAACGTCAAAAATTTATATGGGAGGGAAGTCGGATCATACATGTACATTCTCTGATAAATTGTTGAGCACTGGTATTTCATTTCCCGTTCGGCTGCCAGAGAAGAGATTAGTTGCATAGTTTTTTTTTGGGGGGGGGGGGGGGGAGAAGAGGTCAGTTTTTTCATATGTAACATAAACACAAGCCAGTTTCATTTAGAGAGTTCACCATTAAGGTTTTCTTTCACCCATCTTGATACAGTAGGTTTTTTCTAGTATGTGGAGTTAAGCACTCAGAACTTTTAAAAATTTGCATGAGAACACCAAACACGATGCATTCTTTGCTCTTTTTTTTATTTATTAGAGAAATTCGCGTTTGTTCTGTTTATGGGAAAGCTTTTGCGGTAAAGCAGGGCTATCTTTCTAAGAAGAAGGTTGCTTTCATGGAGGACACTGCCTTACATTTGCGAGAAACCCACAACCACCCAAAAAATGTGAGAGCTAAAATCTACTTCCGGATTTTATAAACCTTATGTTTTTCCATTACTTGATTGAAAATTCTTCTGATAAGGCATACCAAATTTAATATCTCAAGTAGACCAATCTTCGAACACAGTCGTCGAGAATTCTTCCCATTATGCTTCATAAAGTTCGTAAGATGTCCACATACTATATAAGAACTCAGTGAGCTAGAATTCCTCATTTAAAATTATAGATATTAAACTTCCATCAATAATGCTTTTTAAAATATTTAAATATTTTAACGAGTTATTACGACTCCTAAGATGCTTCACAATGTCCACAATTTCTATCCTTATTTCTTTAGCTTCCCATACTTCTAAAAAATGTACATTTAACATAGTTGGCAAATGGAAACAATTTCTGTAATTTGTGAAGCGGAATTGATTTGAAATCTTTACTTGATTTGTTCTGTGCTGTAATGTTTTTTGACTAATTGTATTTAACTTGCAGTCTTTTTCTTGGTTTGTACTGTGCTGTAAAGTTTCTCGAATAGTTGTACTTCGGGGATGCGAGTTGTAATGTTTAACTTATACTTGAAATCTACTTGGTTAACTATTGGTTGTAAACTATTATTTAAAGTGAATTTTCACTTCAAAAACCTTCACGAAAAAGAAACTGAAAACAAAGTATAACTAAACACATTTTTGGTAATCATAACCCATTTTTATTGAAACTAAAATCACCTACTTATAGTATTTCTAACTACTTTAAGTACGCTTGACTTCGTAGAAACCTAATTGAACTATGTAGCGACTTATCGCTGAGTCCAAGGCGTGTAAAGTGCCCAAAGAATGGTTAAACTCACCCTTTATTATCTCAAACTAAAACTACAGTTGGCCTCTTTCTCGGGTTTAGAGAAAAGCCTCCACTTGGGCTTCAAATCAAAATAAGAAACTAATCTTATGCTAAACTAAACTTAGTCGAAGCAGGCACTCGAAGCAGGCAATTCGGCCGAGCGTAGTTAGCTTTAAACAACGAAGCAGCCTGACTGCAAACACGCGGCACAAAGGACTCTTAAGCTCTTCTCTTGAAGACACTTTAACACTTTTGTAACGTACTTGGTCCACAGCAGGAGATTTCCTTTCCTGCTCTTACTAGTTCCTTAATGAGTCCCAAACGGGCCTGGCGGAGGTGAAAAACATCAGCGACGTTTTCTGCAGGAGAGGCAGAAACAGATGGAGCAAAGAGTGTGAAGCACCTTGCTTCTTTTAGAGAAGATACCTGGCTGCCTGTGTGTTGAAGTACTGAATGTTCTCTTGAAGCAAGCAAAACTTCCTTTATATACTTTTTCTACCTCATTTACATGTAAAGCGATACTAAAAAGTTATTCTCGCAGGGAGTTGTAAGTGGGAAACAAGAATTTTAAAGAAATGGTTTCAAAATTAAGAATAACTGTTAGAAAATTAAAATAATCTTTACATGCTATTTGTGACAGACACATATTAAGTATACATAACCCCAACCAGTATTTACCCGTAAAATCTTTTAATTACTATTTCACACGGAATGTTCTCTAATCTAATTCTTACCTTCACCAGCCACTAAAAAGTATCACTTATAGATAATTAAAGTAACACATTAAACTTTAATCCAGAGAATGGCAGCTCAAAGGGACCGCAAACTGAAAGACAGGCAGAATCAATCAGTCAGTTGTTATATCTGACGCTCGTTTGCTTCTTCTTGCCTGCTAAGCCGCATTTTATGGAAAACAAAATCTCTTAGAAGCTGAAGATTGAATTAGTTGAAATTTCAACAATATTAAAATAATTTCGGGTAAGCCCGCAAGATGAGAGAGCTTTTCAGGCAAACAACCAATTCGTAAATAATTTTTTTGAGCATTTTCAGTATTTTTAATATCGCGCAACAACCCGCAGCAATCAATAAGTATCGCGTAAACCACAATATTCAATTTGGAAATAATTTTTTTGTTGCTAGTATAGCATTTTCAGGGTTTTTAATCACAGATGATTAAAATCGCGCGGAGATGAGAACGGTCGAAATGCTTCCCACGAATTTTTGGAATCCTCTGTTTTGGAGTACCTCTGTCGATACTCA